AGAAAAGGAACGGTGAGAGGCACTAACTCCAGGTACCCGCCTTTGTGCCTGGCCCCGAAAGGTAACCAAAGCTCTTTATCACAGGTCAATCACCTTTCCCTCCCTCCCACATCCTCTTTCTCCCGACCTGTTGAAAATACCTTCTCTAGGGCTAGCAGCGTCTCTCAGTAGTGCAGCACTTGACTAGCATGTCAGAGGCCTTTAGTTTCAATCCCCAGTACTGGGTGCCATAGGGAGGAGGAGGACCCTGAGGAAACATGAATTAGTTGTAATCTAGACCAAGTTGTTGGCCTACAGTCACAATTCAGGAAGGCGTCTGAGGACAAAATCACTGCCTGAAAAAGAATTGAATAGAAAGGCTAGAGATGAGACAGTAGAAATTTTGTCCTTGGTTGTCTAATTGTTCATGTGTTTGAGAAATGAACTTATTAGCCAGGCTGGCCTCAGCCCTCTGAGGCTGGCACTGGATTCCTGCTCAGAGCGAGGACTTTCTGCATGCTTCCAACGGAGCTATGACACATCCCAGCTCCAAGAGGGCTGCAGCCCCAACCTCTTGACAGTCATTTTTTTTTAAGATTTATTTATTATGTATACAGTGTTCTGCTTGCATATGTGCCTGCACACCAGAAGAGGGCACCAGATCTCATCATAGATGGTTGTGAGCCACCGTGTGGTGGCTCTGGAAGAGCAGCCAGTGCTCTTAACCTCTGAGCCATCTCTAGCCCCCCAGTCATTCTTTTTTAATATAACATTTTTGTTAACTCATTGAGAATTTCAAATGTGCATATTATGTATTTTGATCATGTTCACACCCCCGATCTGCCTAGGTCCCCCCTCTATACCTCTCACTCATCCTTTTCACAAGTTTATTGAGGCTGAGTATGTAAAGAAAGGGTGGGGAGGTTGCTGTTCATTTCACAAACTTATTCTGTAATATGTTCCTCACTGTTACATTCCTGGAAGAAGGTGAGAATGAAGTGCGATCAGTATTCAGGGGAAAATAAAGCAAAGTGTTGCCCTCTTTGGCTAGCATTCTGTGCATAACAGTTCTGCCTACTGAGAGCCAAGAGCGGCACCAAACACACTTTATGTACCCTCTGCTTCATGAAGGAAGTGTTGCAGCGTCAATCCCAAAGATGGGAGGAGAAGGACTACCGACCGAATCATCACGGCTAGATTAATTAAAGCAAGCTTTTTCATTCATGTTCACAGGCTGCCTCCCTCTAAGGCAGGGTTTGGGAGGTCAGCATTGGTTGTGAGGAAGACATGGGTCAGGGGTACCGTGTCTCCAAAAGGGGGAAAGTAGGCGGGATTACAGGCGCAGACTAACAGGGCAGCCTTACGTGGTCGTAAAACCTTTTGAAACAAAGGTAGGGGTGCAAGATAGCAATAAACAACTCTTTAAACAAAGTTATATACGATGCCATTCCTGGAATAGGCAGTACAGAACCATGTGTACTTGAGGCTACTAGGGGGGTTTCGCCCAATCCTTGAGAAACAGAGGTTTAATCATAATCATAAACAGGAATGAACCTAGTTTACCTTTACTATAAATGGCTTTTACGTCTAAGATGGAGGTAGGCTGGTTCTTTAATAGTTCCCGTTTTATAAATACAGAAGTTGAGGTTTGTTTAACTCATGTGCAGAATTAGGATCTCGGACGTTTCTCATTCAGCTAGGAAGGTGTAGACCCAGGATCCCGCTTCTGAGGATTCCACTTCTGACACAGATGAGGAAACAAGGTCCTTCATATTGGAATGAGAATCCATAGTGCAGTGGGCATGGTGGCGCACGCCTATAGTCCCAGCACTCAGGAAGGCAGAGGCAGATGGATCACTGTAAGCTCAAGCCCAGCCTGGTCTACAAAGCGGGTATAGGACAGCCAAGGCTACACAGAGAAACCATGTCTCGAAAAAGAGAAACAAACAAACAAAAAGAATACAAAGAGCTCTAGGAATTCCAGGTCACATAATTACACCGTTTTATAGTTTTCTCTACTAGGAAAATGGGCTGAGATGGGCTATAATTGTGAGGTAGAGTGCCTGCGTAGTCTGTAAGGTCCTGGGTCGATCCCCAGAAAAGGAAACAAACGGGAGCGTCTGTGAGGTTCCAAGATGGTCTGCAACGTGACAGCTTCTCAGCTCGGAAACCGCCCGCACACGTCGCCGGCGTCAGAGCCGCGGTGGTGACTGACAGCCCACCGCGGGGCGGGGCCTACCCAGCCTGGTCTGGATGGCTGCCGGGTCCACACTGCACAGAAACAGAAATGAAATGGGGGTGGAGGAAAAGCAGGTGACCAGAAGCAGCGACCCTGAAGCGAAAAGGGTAGCACGGTCTTTCCTGTGGAGATCCGCTGTCAAAGCGACGCGGACAGACGCTACAAGCCCACACCCCAAAAGGTCCCTGGCAACCAATAGCGAGTGGCCAGGCCGTGGGCGTCACTGTTGCTGGGCAGACTAAAAACCTCTCCTGCCTCCTCCAGTCAAGGGCCTGCTGCAAAGGTATCCGGAAATGCAGAGATGGAGAAGAGAGGGAAAAGATGCTGAAGGAAAACGTTCTGTGCTGGCTTTCCGATCCAGAATGGGAAGCTCCTTCCGGCAGTCTTTTCCCACGGAGACTACAGCTCCAATAAACAAATTCTTTTTTTTTTTTTTTTTTTTTTTTTTCGAGACAGGATTTTTCTGAGTATCCCTGGCTGTCCTGGAACCTGCATGTAGGCCAGGCTAAAGAAACTCTTTACACTGTGAGAAGAGCAAAATAAACTATGCCTTCGAGTTCTCTTCTCAAGCTGTCCCACATACTTCAGTCACACATGGGCCCACATTCTGAACAGCTAAATGCTTCTTCCAAGGGATAGCCCTGGCTTGGTTTTGATTAAACCAGCACTTCTGCCTCCCATTTAGAATGGAAAGCAAGCAGTTGCGTGGCTCTCCTGACTCACTAAGCTACATGAAATACAGTGACTTCATCATCATCATAATTATTATTATCACAATAACAGAAGACACATAAGACATTTCTTTACTTATTATTTGTTTTCATTTGTTTTGATTTGCTTGGGCTTTTCTTGTTGAGGCCCAGGCAGTCCTCCATCTCAGTGTACTTTGTATCTCCTGCCTTTACCACCAAGCGCTGACATCACAGCATGCAACACCTTGCCTGCCCTGCTTGATAACATCTGAAACGTAACATTTTAATCATTAGTTGATGTGGTGCTTTGAAAGAGAACGGCCCCCATCACAAATTTAAGTGTTTAATCGTTAGGGAGTGGTGATAATTGACAAGGATTGGGAGGTGTGGCCTTGCTGGAGGAAGTGTCACTGGGTGTGGGTTTGGGGGTTTCAAACGCTACAGCCTGGCCCAGTGTCTCACTCCTGCGGCCGCCGATCGATCCACTTGTAGCACTCTAAGCTACCACATCTGCCTACGTGCTGCCGTGCTCTGCACTCCGCTGATAACAAACTGAACCTCTGAGCCCGTAAGCAAGCCGCGTTCCATGCTTTCTTTCATAGGAGCTGCTGCGGTCATGGCATCTCGTCGCAGCAACAGAACACTGACCGGACAGTAGAACATAACTGAGTCTCCACACTGTGTTTATTAAAAGCACAGAAGGTGCCGCCACCACCCTGCGACACAAATGCCGCACCGCTGCTCTTCACGGAGACCCTTTAAATACATGTGCTGTGTAATTTCTCCATGTTAAAAGACGCAAACTGATAAATGGAAAATAAATTAATTTACAGTTTAGCCAAAGTACGTTTAGGCCATGTTAAAATTTATTGGAAGCCATGGGACAAAGGCTAAGAAAGTCCAGTTAACTGTAGGATAGGGTAACTGATCCTTTCCTAGGAGGAAGGGACCTGGCTTCTCCGTTGTCTCAGATAATTTTCCTATTTGAGTCCTAGCTGAAGAAAAGAGGGTCTTTTCTGTTTGTTTGTTTGTTTTCAAGACAGGGTTTCTCTGTATAGCCTTGGCTATCCTGGACTTGCTTTGTAGACCGGGTGGGCCCTGAACTCATCTGCCTCTGCCTCCGTGAGTGCTGGGATCACAGGCATGGGTCAACACACCAAGCAAGAAAAGGGAGTCTTTTTATTTTTTTTTAAGATTTATTTATTTATTATGTGCACAGCATTCTGCCTGCAAGTGTGCCTGCACACCAGAATAGGGCACCAGATCTCAATATAGATGGTTGTGAGCCACCCTGTGGTTGCTGGGAATTGAACTCAGAACCTTTGGAAGAACATCCAGTGTTCTTAAACTCTGAGCCATCTCTCTACCTTGTCCCTTAACTGTTTGGTTTGTGTTTTTAATAAACCTTGTAGAAAATCAGTTATGTTCTACTGTCTGAGTCAGTGTTCTATTGCTGTGACAAGATGCCATAACCACAGCAACTCCTGTGAAAGAAAGCATTTAACGCTTACAGGTTCAGAGGTTCAGTTTGTTATCAGTATAGCGCATAGCATGGCAGCACAGAGGCAGATGGATCTCTGTGAATTCAAGGCTAGCTTAGTCTACATGTCAAGTACCAGGGCTGCCAACCACAGGGAGAGCATGTCTCAGACTTGGGGTAGGGGAGGAGGAAGAGGAGACTAGGCGAGGGTGTGGTAATTACAGGCTGCTGTATCATCTCAGTAGTCAGGATATAAAGACAGTTGAAGGTCTTCCTGTGTGGTATTAGTTTGTGAGCAGGCTGGTATACACAAGACTGCCACACACAAAAAGACAATAGACACAACAAGTCAAGGCTGATTTTTTTTAAACACCTTCAGTAATCCCTCTCCCCTAGACAGTTTTTGGTGGCAGGGGTTAAACATGCCTTACAGACCCACAAATAAGCCCCTCTGACTGCCAGCACCACACGTCCTTCCCAAGATTGGATGCAGGGAGGGGAAAAGAGAAATGGCCCAGTACCAGGCAGCCACTGTTCCAGGGCTGTGAGGGAGGGAGGCAAACCCTGGCCACTGATGGATCTGTAGTCCTTTTGTGCCAAGGAGCCATTCCCCTGAGCACAGCTGTGATGATGCCTGCGTGGAGGTTGGGCTTGGGCAGTAGGGCCCTCCCAGATTCTCCCTTCAGGTTTCCTGGAGTAAGGGACATGCACCCCCAGGGCTTCAGCCTGACCTGACCCTGCTGCCAGGGACACTCCCCAGTAACCATGAAGACCAGTCTGTGGAGCCTTTCTCAGCCTCGCTGCCTCCTCTCCCTGCTCCTTCTCCTCCAGCTGTCATCCAGCTCTGCAGGTAAGCATGCTCCTTTCAGCCGGGAAGAGACCACCAGAACGCGGTATTTGGGGCTTACCTCCTTTAATAACCTCAAACGGCCGTATGAGTGTCCTGTCTACACTTGGGTCTGCTGGCATGCTTTCTCTCTTTAGTAACCTTCCTGGCTTCTTGTGGAATAAAATTCAAACATATGGTGCTGGGAATTGAACTTGGGGCCTGGAGCAAGCTAAGCTCTATTCTCAGCCCTACTTTTGTTTTTGTTTTTAATAAATTAATTTTTAACATTTATTTATTTTTATATTATGTGCATTGGTGTTTTGCCTGCATGCATGTCTGTGAGAATGTCAGATCTTGGAGTTCCAGACAGTTGTGAGCTGCCATGTGGGTGCTGGGATTTGAACCCAGGTCCCCTGGAAGAGCAGTCAGTGCTCTTAACTGCTAAGCCATCTCTCCAGCCCCTAGTTTTGTCTTTTTCACTTTTCAAAAGAGGACAATAACATCTTGGAGGTGCTGGCAGAGTTAATGAGAGAGAACATCTTATGCTTGTTTGTGGTAAATCCGACAAATGTTTGTTGAGAGTCCGCGAAATGGCTTGTGGGCAAATGACCTGAATGACAAAATAAAATAGCACAAAAAATAAATATTAGAAATAAACAGTTCAGTTATAACATCTTGTTATGTTTGACAACTTGCTCTGCAGAATCAGGCAGCAATGAGTTGTTATACAGGAGCCTGTTTCCCAACTAGGAAGAAAATAAAGAAATAGAAGACAGAGGTACACCTCAGGGAGCCATGTGATTGATGGAGGCCTAGCCCCAGGACTAGCCCTTGGTATAAGAAAGAACCTAGCTTACTTGCCAGTAGCTGAATCTCACTGGGGAGATGTTCAGAGAATGGTCCAGAACAAGGCTGAAGGTCCTGTTGATAAAGAAGAGTGAAGCAGCTATCCAAGAGTATGTGACTTCCACAGTGACTGTGGGGACAAAGTGTGAGGACAGAGGGCTAGAAAGCACTTAGAAATAGTAGGCCACATTCCAAGGAGGCAAGACTCCCAATTGATGAGTCAGAGGTGAACACAGCTGGTTGAAAAGTGGAAGCCATTGTCCAGATGATTTCATGTGAGAGTATCCTGTCTCAGGCATTCAGAACATATCTTTAACTAGACTGCTTACTTCATACATTGTCAAAGAAAACAAAAAGGATCCCCACGGAGGCTCTTTAATTCCATTTAAAACTTTTAAACCCGGCATGCTAGTGAGCCCCTGTAACCACAGCATTTGTGAGATGGAAGCAGAAGGACCAGAAATTCAAATCATTCTCAGCTACATGGAAGATTAAGGCCTGCTTGAGCTATAAGTGCCAACTCTCAAAAATGGAAAAAGGCACTGGAGAGATGGCCCAGCTGTTACACATGCTTGCTGCTCTTGCAGAGGATTATAGGTTGGGTTCTCAGTACCACCAACCTGGGGCAGATCACAGTCTCCGGTAACCCCAGCTTCTTATGGATTCCAAGAGTGCACAAAGGTGACATGCTTTCCCCCACACTGGCACAAATGCTAAACCTTTAAAAGAAAAAATGTCATTGTCCTAAGCCAAGAATGGTGGTATGTGCTCACAATGCCAGCACTTAAAAAGCTGAGACAGGAGGATTGCTGTGAGTGCAAGGCCAGCCTGGGCTACAGAGCAAGACCCTGTCTCAAAATAATATCAGGGGCTAGAGAGAGGTCTCTGAGGTAACTTGCTTCTCTTACAAAAGACTAGGGTCTGGTTACAGTAGCCACGTCCGTGGCTCACAACAACCTGTAACCACAGATCTAGAGGGGCCAAATGCCTCTGACCTCTGTGGGCACCTGCACTCATGAGTGCTGATATAGACACAAACAAATCTCTGGGTGTGGTGATACAGCTTTGATCCCAGCGCTTGGGAGGCAGAGGCAGGAAGATCTCTGAGTCCCAGGCCAGCCAAGGCTACGTAGTAAGACCCTGTCTTAAAAATAAATAAAATGAAAAATTTAAAATTGTGTCTCCTTCCTCCTCCCCTTTTTTGAAGCAGCTTTTCTATGATGAACTTGTCACATCTGACTCTTTTTCCCCCCTTTGGTTTCTTGGACAGGACAGTTCAGAGTGATAGGACCAGGGTATCCCATCCGGGCTTTAGTTGGGGATGAAGCAGAGCTGCCGTGCCGCATATCTCCTGGGAAGAATGCCACCGGCATGGAGGTGGGGTGGTATCGCCCTCCCTTTTCTAGAGTGGTTCATCTCTACCGAAACGGCAAGGACCAAGATGCAGAGCAAGCACCTGAATACCGGGGACGCACAGAGCTTCTGAAAGAGACCATCGCTGAGGGGAAGGTTACTCTCCGGATCCGGAACGTGAGGTTCTCAGATGAAGGAGGCTTCACTTGCTTCTTCAGAGACCACTCTTACCAAGAGGAGGCAGCTATGGAGTTGAAAGTGGAAGGTGAGTCCACCAAGGTAATCTGCAGTGTGACCTGTGGGGTAGTTGACCTCCCCTTCACACCTCAGTTATTCAGGTAAGATACCCAAACATGTCACTTCTGAGATCAATTCCAAAGGAACAAATACTTCAGTAAACAGGGACTCCTATGCTGCGGCTGTTAGTTATTTTGTTTTTTGAATTGGAAAACTGAAATCAGAGTTAGTGTTCATGGCTAAGAAAGCGAAGTTAAATAAAAGATGGTATCTAAGCTAAACAAATGCCTGTGCACTTCAGTTGTTTGTATTATTATGATTATGATGACTTTTCAATATGTAGCCCTGGCTGGCCTGGAACTCATTATATAAACCAGGCTAGCCTCAAGATCATAGTGGTCCCTCTGTCTCTGCCTCCTAAGTGCTGGGAGCTGGGATTAAAGGCATGTGCCACCACAACTAGCTTACGTGTATATATATAACTTGGGCAATCCTCCAGCCTCAGCCTCTGGAGCACTGCAACTAAAAGCATGAGTCACCATGCTCAGCTTGCAATGATTGCTTTAGATCCATACCAGAGAGCGTGGGTGCTTCCCATGATAGCTTGCTGAATGACATAAGCAAGCCATAAAAACATATCCCTGTTTGAGTGTGTAGTTAAATATATGTATACATAATATATGCATATATATATCATACATATAACACTTACTCCATATATGTGTGGTGTGTGTGTGTGTGTGCCTATTTGTGTGTGCATTGTATGGCAGGGATATAATTCATGTGTGTGTGTATGTATGTGTGTGTGTGCCTATTTGTATATGCATTGTATGTCAGGGATATAATTTTTGTGTGTATATGTGTGTGTGTGCCTATTTGTGTGTGCATTGTATGGCAGTGATATAATTTGTGTGTGTATGTGTAATAGAGATAATTCAGTTGGTAGAGTGTTTACCAACCGAATAGAATGCAAGTAGCTGTGGGTTTAATTCCCAGCACTGCATAAACTGATCTTAGAAACTGAAGCCTGTAAACCCAGCACTTAGAAGTTAAAGTCAAGAGGATGAAAAGTCAGGCACCAGCCTAGGATATAAGAGATCGTCTCAAACAAAACAAACAAAATCAAGGGGCTAGCAAAATGGCTCCGTGGTTAGGTGCTTTTGCTGCCCTTGCAGAGGACCAGAATTTTATTCCAGAACCCACAGCTCTGGGGGATCTGATACTTTCCCCTGGTCTCCAAAGCCACATATACCCACACACAAATATACACATAAATTAAAATAAAATAAATTAAGCACATGTACACACACACACACACACACACACACACACACACACAGTGGTGGAGGAGACCTGTACTTTTAGCACCATTGCTTCATTTTCATAACTTCGTTGTCAGTATGATTCGTGTGAGGGCTAACACTGGAGTTATTTGTCTTGCTCAGAGTGGTTAAATCATGGATAGGAAAACAGACAGAGGGAGCTTTGAGAGTTAATTGCTATGTAATTGAAGAACAAAAGTGTTCTGAGCCTCTGACCCCTTCCCTTCCTCCTCACCACCTGCAGTGCCAACATCAGACAATCCACCATCTTTGTATCTGAGGTGGGGGTGGCTGTTGCCAGGCGAGACCAGAAGACACATTGTATACCCAGTAACAAAGCGCTGTTTCTAGAGATAGCTCGCAGGGACATGAAAATAGCTGTGCCACAGAATGTTCTTCACACAGCTGTTTTTGCTGAGGAATTTTCACTCACAAAGAAGTGGAGGGTCAGAACTTCAGCATACAGATTTTTTTTCTCTTCCTCTCAGCAAATTCCCAGTTCAACTGCCAACTCCAGCATACTCACTGAGGCCCAACTCACCACAAGAAAGATTCGGGGAGTGAAGCAGAACACACACTGAACACACTAAACGTTTTGCCTCAGGGGAGAATGCTTTCCTTTGAGTTGGTTTCCACATTCCACATTCCTTCAGTAATCTCCTGGTTTGCTTGTCTGAGAGAGAGGGGAAGGGTTGGAGTTCCATTCGCAACACTGAATAAAATCTGGGAAGTTTTAGCTCAGGCCTGTAATTCCAGCATTTGGGAGGTAGAGGCTGGAGGACAAGGAGTTCAAGATCAGACTTGCCCTGTTTAAGAAAGAAAAACCAATGGCCACATTATCCCTTTCTAGAAACAAGCCCACATTAGCATCAAGAATAAGGCTAAGGCAGGCAGGTCTTGCAGGCCTGTGAGTTGCAGCAATTCTCCTGCCTGAGCCTCCTGAATGCTATGATTACAGGCATGTGGCACATGCCCGGATGTGTCAGCATTTTTAAGTCTTGATGTTCATTCCCTTATTCAGCCCTAACTTACTGCGGCAGAGGCTCTGCACAGTTCAGGGAAGCAAGCTGGTGACACATTACTTTTGCCTTTCAGACCCCTTCTACTGGATCAGCCCTGGGGTGCTGGTTCTCATTGCACTTCTGCCAGCACTGTTCCTGCAGGTCTCTGTGGGCCTTGTCTTCCTCTTCCTGCAGCACAGGCTGAGAGGTACGGACAGCGGTCGGGTCTGTCAGGATCCTTTCCTGGCCCGTAGTTTTAAGGCTTCTGGGTTCAGAACTACATAACATGTTTTGCTGAATGCTTTCAGATAATAGTAGAACCTCGTATTTACAGTGAAGTAAGACTGACAGCCTCATTGCTGAGGAAGAAATTGAGTCTAGGGGTGGTTCAGTGACTTGCTCAAATGGTGTGATACAGGCAAGAAGAGAGTGTCAGAATCCCTGGAAAGGGAACATGGGTATTGAGAGCTGAACCCTGGGTCCTCCACAGAAGCTGCAGCACTCTTAACCCTGAGCCATGTCTCCAACTCCGCTACTTCACATTTTAGTAAGGATTCTGAAATGAAAGTCTTTGCCACATAGAATGCACTAAAGAAACTGTCCCCTTGTCTTTTCCATTCGACTGTGAACAGTTGTTCAGGCCAGAACCCGCAGTCAGAGTTCCTTACACTATGTCCTTCCCAGACCAAAGCATAAGGTCTTCTGTTTCCACCTCCTCTTGCTGATAGGAACAGAGCAGCAAGGAGGGTTTGGGCCATGGAAAGGGGGCAAATGTCAGATCAACAATGGCCCTGCCTTATGCACAGTAAGTAAGTACTCTGTACTGAACTACACCCCCAGCCCCGCAGGAGGGGTTTGTTTTTGTTTTTACCTTAAAATCATTCCAAATGCTTGACTACCTGCTCCACAGCAAGGAAAATGCCCTCTACCATCATGGCTGCATAGAGCAGAAAGACAGAGCTAGGCAGGCTAGGATCCAACTCTACTGTAGACACCAACCATAAGGAAAATTCTTGGGTTCTCCAAGTCTCTGGGTAGGGACAGATTTTTTCCTCTTAAACCATGGAAGTGTAGAGAGGAAAGTGCCTAATACAGATGCAGTCATAAAGCCGTCGCTCACTAAACATCTAGCTCCTCCTTCCAGTGAGATGCGGCTTCATATTTACAAAATGCCAGTCTGCTTGGCCAAGTGAGCTGAGCAGGGAGTCATAGAAGGTGTAGAGCCTTATGGTAGGGCTTCAGGGGCAGCTCCGGGGGCCGAAAGCCTGTGATGCTCTTTACAGAGAACTTGAGCCCCACCCCAGCACCTGCGTCAGGCAGCTCACAACTACCCTGACTTCAGGAGAGCTGACAAGTACTCATATGTGCACACACAGACCGAGAATTAAATATGAGAAAAACAGGCAATTCGTGTGGTTTGAGCATTGCTGGCTCCTGAGGGACAGTTCTGAGTTTTGCATTCTTAAATGTTGGGGCGGGGAGAGGGGGCTCTATCTATGAAGTACAGCTATTTGTATACCTTTGACCGAAGAACAGTGACCACAGAAGAGTGGGCTCTGCTCTTCTAGAAGGTCGTTCTCTCCAGCTAAACAAGCGGCTTTGGGAGGGACACATCCATGGAATTGTAAGAAAAGAAGCCAGCTAGATCAACATAACCAGCCCTGGCAATCACTGGGATGACAGCCAGATCACCCTCACCTCCAGGCTCTTGTAGTCTTTATTATCTAATTCAGACAACGCCCACAGAAAGAGCCTGAATCCTTGGTTTTAAATCCAGAGCTCTCCCCACTCTCCAAAGAGGCTCCCAGACCATCAAAAAATGCTCAAGGTGATGGGTGTGGAAGGGTCCTCATAGTGTCAAACTAAAAAACTGTTTTTTCTATTTTAGGAAAACTTCGAGCAGAAGTTGGTGAGTTCCAGTCACCCTCCCTACCCAGTTCCTCCCGTCTTGTTTTAGCTTGCCTGAAATGACCATTTCTTCAGACCATTTTTGCCTCTCACCCAATGCTCTGTGCTTCCTTCATTTGGGAACTTCAATGTTTAAAACTATAAGCAGTTAAAAATTAGAAATGTCATTGTTTCACTTGAGTTCAGCCAGTGTAGACATAAAATCCAATAGCTCCTTTGTGTCGGCACTAAAACCATCATTAAGTGATTTAAATAGATCCCCTTTCAGGGAAAGGGTTCTCCTTTCAGTGCCCTGCTGAATCCTTTTTCATTTGTTCTTTTCAGAGAATCTCCATCGGACTTTTGGTAAGTTCAGACATACCCTAGCCCTTCCAAGTCACTGTGGGATTTCACTTGCGGCCTGGGGGACCAGGACCAGTGGCTTTTTGTAAGGTCCCTCCATCTTACTTCTTTGCATTCAAGATCTGTAGGAATATAGCAAAAATGTATTACCACATTCCAGGGTCAGGCACTAAATAAATTTTACAAATGAAAACTTCTTATATACTTTTCACCTTGTGAATTATAAAAGTTAGATAACAGATCCTTTGCACAAAAACTTGGTTGCCTAGTGGAAAAAATAAAATATACTTAAAAAAGGTACAACTACTAAGGCTAAAGACATGGCTCAGTCATTAAGAGTGTCTGCTGTTCCCCTAGAGGAACTAAGTTCTATTTCCTGACCCCAGAGCAAACATCTGTACACACAAGACATACACCATAAATAAAAATAAAATATTTTTTTGAGATATGGTCTTACTATGTGGCCCTGGCTAACCTGGAATTCACTATGAAGACCAGATTGGCCTTGAACTCAAAGAGATCTACATGCCTCTTTGTCCCCAGTGTTGGGATTAAAGATATGTGCCACCACACCCAGAAAATTACATTTTTAAAAAATCATCTGGCATACTTATATGGCAGGGTTAGTTTTCAGGAGTACAGCCCAAAGGCACATCAGGGAAGGCTCCTTTAAGGAAAAATAAAGCCTACTAGTATCTTTCCTTTTTTGAGTCAGGGTTTCATACGGCTGTGCTGGCCTCAAACTAAAGGATGGCCTTAGGCATCCAATCCGTCTGCCTTCAACTCCCACTGCTGGAAAATGCATATGCAACCATGCATACCCCAACTAGAACAGTAACTCCTCAAGAATCGTCTTTGCATTTTCTTTACTTCAGATCGCACAGCCACAGGACAACAGCAACAACAGAAGGGTACTCAAACATTTGTTGAATAGATTCCATACAAATTAGAAAATTTCTGCCCTGAGCAATCTTCCTAAGCAGCCTTTCTTTCTGAGGCCAAGAACAACCCTGTTCAGACCTTCTGGTACACTTGATGGCTCCACCTTAGCACTTGACATTGGGCTAGTGGATGTCACACATGTAGTCTCTGAACATCCTGAGAGAAACATAATTTTTTAAGTATGCGCATGTGTGTGTGTGTGTGTGTGTGGTGTGAGTGAGTGAGGGTGGGCAGGTGTTCTCATGGAGGTCAGATGACAATTTGCAGGAACTGGTTCTCTTCTCCCACCATGTGGGTTCTGGGGATCACCTCAGGCCCTCAGGTTTAGCAGCAAGCACCTTTATCAACTAATCCATCTCACTGACCCCATTCACTTGAGACAGACTGTCATGTATTCCAAGCTGGCTTCAAACTTGCTTTGTAGCCAAAGCTTACCTTGAATTTTGATTTCCCTGCCTCTGCCTCCTATGTTCTGGGATTATAGGTGTGAGCCATGAAGCCTAGCTGCAAGCTGTGCTGGGCATGAAACTCAGAGCTTTGTGCATGGTAGGCAAGCTACAAGAATGTAGTTCTACAAACTGAGCTACATTCCCAGCTCCCAGGATTTTATTTATAAGATTTGAATGTCTAAATTTTTAATCATTTTCATATCTTGGTATCATAATACTAATGCATAATACTAATACTGTGTGTATTTTTTTGAGAACTGAACCTAGGAACCCTCAACATGTGAGATGAGCTGCATCCCTAGCCTGCTGCTTGCTATTTTCCTATATATTAGATATTCAAAATTATGGTATTACTATAATATATATAGTAAATATATATTATTATACTAAATACATAGTATATATGTATATATAATATACACACAGACACATATATAAAACCTTAGGGATAGCAGGATTGATGACCTGTAATCCCAGTACCTGGAAGGCTGAGGCAGGAGGATTTCTTAAGGTCAAGGCCAGCCAGGGATACACAAGACCCTGTCTTCGAAAAAGCAAAAAATGCTAGGGATGCGGATAAAGGAGGGCTAGTGCATAGCTGGTATGAACAATGTATGAAAGTATCGTGAAACCCATTATTTTCTACACTAAATCAGCTGAAAAAGCTAAATTCAATTAGAAGTTAATGAAAATAAAGGCACAGCACAGCTCATCCAAAACATGGAGTCTATAGCTTGTCCGGAGTCCTTTGGTATTTGGGGCGTCAGGTTGAGAAGTGTATGTGTGGGGGGGGATAAAGGGAAACACTCTGTTCTGCTCTACCATTCAGATCCTCACTTCCTGAGGGTGCCCTGCTGGAAGATAATGCTGTTTGTTGTTGTGCCCGTTCTTGGACCCCTGGTTGCCTTGATCATCTGCTACAACTGGCTGCATCGAAGACTAGCAGGTGCAGTGTGTGGGCGGCAAACAGGACCACCGTGCAGCGGGCCTCAGGCAGACCAGGGTGGGAAAGAGTGGAACCAAAGCTCTAGACTGAAGGGCAGGGACCACCTTCCTGGTGTCTGTATGCTCACCATCAGAATCCTCAGGGAAACTGAGAACCACTAAATGAGATGCATGGGCCCCTTAGTGAAAATGGAGGGTTTTCTGGGGAGGCTGTGAGGTGGCGAGGGGGAATCTCTCACCGATCACCCACCATCTCATTTCTCTTTGTTTACAGGACAGTTTCTTGAAGAGCTAAGTAAGTTCTCCCCAACACCCCTCTCCACTCTTGAAACAAGTCTCAGTGTGCAGCCCTGGAACTATGTAGACCAGCCTGGTCTGGAAATTTATGGCAATTCTCTTGCCTCTTGTCTCTAAGTGCTAGCATGTACCTCCATACCCAACCTTTTTCTTCTAAACTGAACAACAAAAAAAGCCAGCACAGGAAGATGGTTACTGAGGGACTATACTCCCAGGAAGGGCTGGAAGGACTCTTTGAGGAAAAAGGAAAGGGAATAACTGTTAGAGACAAGATTTTAGTGCCAGAGAAGCTGGTGAGCCACTCTTACCTGCTGACCCAAGAGCTTTCAGTACCACTAGGCCAGAATCCCACTTCTTCAGCCTCCTTTGGCGTGCTCCATAACAGTTATCCTAAACCTCACCTTCCTTCAAGACCAACCAGGAGGTTGGCAGAGATAACATGACCCCTGTGAACGTTCTGTCTCTTAGGTTCAGTGACTTCACTGGCAGATTTTTGAAGTTGTCTTTTTTTCTAGGAAACCCCTTTTGAGTGATGGTGTCTCTTCCTGGAGTGAAGGAGAGCCTGGCAGGTCCCTGAGGATGTCTCTTGTTGGCTTCTTTGTTACAGAGACACTCCAATATACATCTACAGAAGCACTCTGGATTCCAAGTAGAACTTGAATTCCCTTCTTGAAATATCTTCCTTTCCTCAGCTCCTTTCCTCCTTTAATTTTTGCTCCCACATCTTTTTACTCCTGTCTCAATCTTCCTCCAGAAAATACCCCATGGCTAAGGCCAGATAGTCTATCTGAAGACACCCATGTACCAGTGAAATACAGGAATGATTGCACCGAACAGGATATCCAGAACCTCTACATTACACACTATAGAACATCAACTCTGCAAATGGTGACTGCTTCTTCCAAAAAGAACAAGTCAAGACTGTGAAGAACAGCAATGTAGAGAGTAGGGGGTTAGGGACAGAGAAGAGCCCACAGTATCAGGGAAAGCTAAGTGAGCCGGAGTATGAATATAAAAACTTGAGCCAAAACCTGGAGATGGAAACTAAAGAATACTGACAACAGCCACACTGTCTTCCTTTGGCAGCGTGGTGGGTGGACCTTGAGAAACAAGGGCTGAGAACTGGGTCTGCTTCTCTCCTACTTTCTGCACCTTTGTGTCCTTCATACTCCTGCCTCTCATTTTCTCCTTCATTTCTCTCAGAGAACACAGTTATTTTTTTTTTCCCCAACAATTACTACCTGATGGTCTACCAGACACAAACAAGCTAGGTGCTAATTAATACAATTTCATCTGTGCACTTCTTTTCCTTTCTTTGTCGTGTCTTTCCTTCATCATCTACTCCTTTCCTACTGAAGCCTCCTGAGGCCAGAGGCCAATTTTCAGAAAACACAAAGACCTCAGTTAGACCCACTTCTTTTTGTTTTAAAAACTGTATTTATTTTGTGGGGTGGGGAGATGTGTGTGTGTGTGTGTGACCTCACACACCCACATGTGTGTGAGGTCAGGAGTCAGTTCTTTTCTCTGTCACAGGGGTCTCAGGCTTCAAACTCCTTCAAGCTCAGGAGGTCCGGCTGCTTAGCCACTAACTGTCTCACCATCCCCAGACAGGCCTTTTATTTCTCACTGCATACATGCTTCCTCTTTCTTTACGTCTTCTTGTCTTTATCCATCATCTGTCCCCCTGAGGATCCCTCTACTTGTGAAATATTCTGAAGCACCAAGGGATTAGGAAGAAAGCCAAGCAAATGACCCAGGATTTCCGCGCATTTAAACAATCTTTTTTCGCACAAGTGTTCCAGCAGGCTTTCCCTTTCCCTAAAGCAGTTGTCACAAACAGGGCAATAATAGATCTTTGGCTTCCTGGGTGTGTTGGATGCGTGGGAGGACTCTTGGCTGGATTGACCCTTGTAGTGCAAGTTGATGTGGGCTAAGAAACAGACCCTCTTGGTAAAAGTTACGGGACAAAAGGGGCAAGAGATCGTTACTTTTGTGTGCCTCACTACAACAGTTTTGGTTCTGACATCCAGGCATGAGGCTCTGCCGTTACGTGCCTTTGCCCTGGCCACTGGTCCCTGAATCACTTTTACATGCCTGAGGATGGGTGCTTGGGATCCAGGTGTTGTAGGTGGAACGGTATGCATCTGGTTGCCAGCCACTGGCTTCCTGTTTTGGTGTACCTTCAGGTGGCGTTTGACCTCAGACTGATCCCGGAAGCACTTTCCACACACAGGGCAAGCATGGGGCTTATAACCTAAATGAGCGCGTCGGTGACGGCTCAGTCCGGAAGCATCACGGTAAGTCTTGCCACAGAGATAGCAAGAGAAAGGCGTCTCTCCACCAAGCGGGGGCTGGTGGCTAGTAGCCCTCTGGGACCTCGAAGGAAACTGGTGATTAAGGAGGAAGGCACTCTTTTTGAAACATTTGCCACATGTCAGGCAGAAAAGCAGTGGTCCACCCTTGAATACTCCTCTGCAAACAAAAGAAGCCTCCTCTTCATCAGCACTCTCCTCATCTTTCAGAGCTGCGCCAGGTTCTTGAGGTTGCTGCGTCCTTGCTATGGTAGAAGACGGGAAAAAACACACTTCACTATGAGAATTCCAACACAAGGTTTGCACTCATACAAGTCGCTTTCCCTTTCCCAGCCTTTAAACCTCAACCATTCACCCTTGAACCTCATATAGAAATAGGAAAAACAAATTAATAACAGCAGCTAATAAAAATTTCATAGGAGTCTTCTATAGTCTCGAATATCTAAATAGTGACATATCTTTGAAAACAATCTTCTCACTCTCAATATTGCTCATATATATCCCCGCATAGGATGAAGCAAGAATCCTCCCCTCATCCCTGATTTCACATGTGTCAGCCACAGCACAAAAATCATCAAATGGAAATTCCCTCCTGAAAGGACTCATATAACTTTTTAATGTAGATTATAATTATTCTATCTTATAATTAATTTATTACTGTGTCTAGTATTAAAAAAAAACACAACAACTCAGGAGCTAGGGATATAGCTCAGCATTAGAGCACTTGCCTAGTATACACAAAGCCCAAGGCTCAGTCCCCAGAGCTCTGTAAACAGACACATAAATGTGTGGTTGTTGCTTCAGGAACCACTGAGACACAGCCCCTTCAGGTATCAGGACTCGCCTCCAGTGCTGGGGAAACAAGTGTTCTGCCAGTGAGCTAAACCTCTAGCCCAAGGGATGACTGCTATATGATGCAAGTTGGGAGTCAAAAGTGATGATTTTAATTATTGAATTGGAATAAGCACCACCACACCAGGACTGTCTCAGCAAACTGGGAAGTATGGCCAACGTAAATTAACATTCCTCTCAATTCCTCATTCTCACCTCAGGAACAAGCTTAGCCTTCTCCAGCTCAACATTGTCAAATTTCTTTCTCCACTTTTTCTTGGGAAGAACTTCTTAATCAAAGGGTAACACTGACAAGCAACACACGTAACCTCTCAAATTCTGGAAACTAGATTGTTTTCATCATTAAGTCGGTGGACTTAAAAGTTTGATCTCAGTGTTTTTTCTAGTCCCAAGTCTAACCAGAATGGAAAGGTATAAAGATACTGAGATGCTATAGTGAGCCTTGATGCTCACCATTCTGGGAGGGTCCTGGGTCATTTTTACCTCTCTTCTTTGCAGTGTTTTTTCAATTTTAAAATCTCACTTTTACTATTGCATGTGCGCAGGTATACACGTTACCACGTGCTTGTGGAGGTCAGTGGACTGTTTTCCTTCCACCGAGTTCATTTCAAATTCTAATTGTGAGCCTTGATGGTAGGCACTTCCAACCTCTGAACCATTTTGCTGGTGCTTGGTCTTGTGAGAGGATGAGCCTCAAATACAGATGTGAGCTGCCACACCCAGCTTCTTTTGCAATTCTTACCTGTTGTCTTCAGGGGATAGAGACTCAAACTCCTCTGTTCTCTTCCTTTTTGCATGGTGTTCCAATATGGTTTAGGCAAATATTTTAGCGGTGAGTGGAGTCATATTTTGTGGGGGTGGGTGGCACACTTTTGTTGTTTTCGACAAGAACTCAGTAAACAAGGCAATCTGGCTCTGGATTCTCTCCGTCCTTTCAAATGATGAGATGTATTACGAAGACTGTGTGTAGTGTGGAAATGAAGCAAACTGGTCCCATGCTAAGCCCCTTTATGTCTTGTGCAGACAAGAGGCGATGATGCCCTGTGCACTTGCTTTAAGAACATTAATCCAGGGCTGGGGAGATGCGCAGCGGTTCAGTTCAGTGTACTTGTTGGTCTTGTGGGGGATCTGGATTCTGTTTCCAGTAGCCACATGGTGGCTTACAACCACCCATAACTCCAGTTTCAGGGGAGTTTTTTCCCCATGTAGCCTTAAATTTGCTATGTAGCTGAGAATCACCCTGACCTGGTCTTCCGACCTCCACTTCCAAGCCCCGCTCACCATTCATGTTTGCATTTCTTTTACTTTTTACCCCTAAACTTTGTGACTCAAATCTTTCAGACATAAAACTAGGGACCAACTGTGATGTGTCCGAGCAGAAAATACAACCATATAGTCTAAGGCTACAGGACAGGGAGAATGCTGGGGGTATCTCAGTCTCTTACCCACAAGTGACAGGTTCTTGAAGGTTTCTGACATCACTGTCTGGTAAAGGGTCTTCTGTGTGGGTGTCAGACATTTCCATTCTTCCTGGGTGAAGTTCACTCCCACATCCTCAGAAGTGATTGGTATCTGGATTGGCTGGGCAGCCTTAGCATACAAATAAGACTTGACGTGAGTGAGGCAACACCGTCTTCTCCAGTTCTGCTGTGTCTGCTCAGGGACTTTTAGGCCCTAGGCCTCTGCACTGTCACATCTGCCCTGGCAATACATCAGGGTGTTCTGTGATCCTGACCACAACCGAAATGCATAACCAAAATCTCTGTTGAGTGTACCCAAAACACTACTACATGTCCCCAAGCTACACCTGAGGGCGTGGCTCTGCCTTTCCACATGATTGATTGCTGTACCCCTGAGCTTCCATGCCAAGAGTTCGTACACGGCACTAGCTTGCTCCTGGTCACCAGCTAAAATAAAGGGCTCTTATTTGACCTTATATGCATGGTGGTGTGTAACTTTCTCTCTAGACTATAAAATACTGATTTACTTTCAAGATTTTGAGAATTCCTACCTAAGAGAAAGATAATACCATGAGTGGAAAGAACAAGTGTGAGGAAGGACACAAAGCCAGAAAGAAAAGGATGGATGCAGAAAAAGGAAGAAAGAAATCTCTGAACTAAGAAGAGAAATGAAGTAAAATTGGTTGCTACTCTGATGAAATCCATGAAAGGATCCCAGGGTGGTATGAAATATAGAAGAAAATCTTGAAATTCCTCTTTTATCCTACTGTTGGGTCTGGGATAGTCTGAGGTTCTGTTATATCCGCAGGCAGGTAGAAGCCTCAGGGAGTCTAGGCCCTACCATGTCTCTACCACATTTCCTCCCTTCTGCTGCTGGATTTCACTGGTAATCTTAATCTTTTTGTTATAGGCATGTGTATCTTCCTCTACCTTTTTTTTTCTTTTTTTGAGAAATCTCTCACTGAACCTGGAGCTCACCAATTCAACAAGGCTATCTGCTGCACCTAGTTTCTTTCTTTCTTTCTTTCTTTCTTTCTTTCTTTCTTTCTTTCTTTCTTTCTTTGTTGTTGATGATGTTTTAATGTGGGGGGTGAAGTTGGGTCCTCATGTTTGTGAAACAAGGACTTCTACACTGAGCCATCTCCTCAACCCCTCCACCATCATCTTTCTTCTGGGCTTCCGTCAAGCGGGTAACATACTACCTACCCTATGGAGCAGCATGTGCTTAGTGGCCTCTCCTTCTGGTCACTGAGACTGAGGCTCCCTGTGACTCTCTGCCTTCCAGGGAAGGGGAAGAAGGAGAGTTTCTGCAAGGGCCCCAGAATGTGGTACTGCTTCTTGTAAAAGAAGTTTCTACTCTAAGAGACGGTCTTCCTTAATTGGTCAACTGTCCAAATTCTCCTCTTTCACAGCTGACAGCTTTAGTTCCCTCCAAGCCCAGGCCATACAGTTCAGGGCTCTGGTTACCTCTTCCTTAGCTGCCATTGTTTGTAATGCCAGGCTGGTCCTAGGTGTTTTGCCTTCTATTCCAGACTGCATCTAGCCACTATTTGTTGGTCCCCACTTCTAGAAATCTGAGGTTAGAGAAAAATACATAATATCAGACAAAGGAGAATAAGAAACATGTGCTTCCTTTGCACGCAGTTACTAAGTTCCTGCCCTGTGATGAAGCCTTCTTGGCAGTACCAAGTGAGGTAACAATGGTTCCATCTTAACAGACTTCAAGTGTAGGTGGTAAGTCATTTGTCCCAGGACATTTGATCTGTGAGAGGTTTGTTGTTGTTGTTTTGTTTTTTAATTCTAGACTCGGCACCACTGAAAACTACATACCTAAATGTGTCGAGTAACACAGAGTCCGTCTCTTCATCCTCTCTGATTTTATTTCGTTGGAAACATGGGAGTAAGTATCTCTTCCAGAACCAAAAATTAAAATACGGGTTCTGTGACCTGAATGTGTGTATGATATCCTGAGGCTCAGTAGATCAGGGGCCTGTTCACAGTAAGCACACGCTGTACCACTGAGCCTTATGTATACCCAAGCTCTAGCTAGGACTTAGCCTTTTAACGCATAGATACGCTATTCACAATGGAGCTGTTCCCTGATGACCTCGTAGGCAACCTCAACACTTAGCAACACGCACACTGTAGCGAGCGTGTCCCCTTCCGGAGAGTGCAGCCTGTGGCCACTACACAGCATCAAGAGGCTGTCAGAGTCCCTGCCCTTACACACCACACAGAGCTAGTCTAGGGACAAGTTTGACTTACTAAACCCGCAGATAGAAATGTTACTGAGTGATTAAGGCTTTCGCATCATCGGAATCATCTTCGTCTTGGCATGAGTCAGGTATCACGTGTACAACCAGACTCCTGTAACACACAGTGACAATAACCTGACAGCATTTAAGCTCCTTGTTCATCCTGAAAAAATGTATGCTCTGATGTAAAAGGGCAAAAAAGCCGCCTTCCTGTGACAGTCACCTATTTCTACTTCTCTCCCTGTGCTAAGGAAGCGCAAAGGCTGGCAGCTTGTTGCCCTTCGCCTCTCAATTCTTTAACAAGAGTGAAAATACCAGCAAGGAACAATTGCTAACTCAACCCCCAGAAGTCACCAGGGAAGCTGCTTTCCCAGGGTCTGAAGGTGATTTTCTTTCTTCCTTTGAGACTGTCGCTTGACATGTGCAGATGTGGTCCTGCTCCCCATTTCCCACCCATCCACATTCCACACAGTTCCATGTTCGCGCCTTCCGGACCTGCCCTTAACCGACAGCTACGGTCTCCCTCCACCCACCTCCTCCTCCTTTACCTCCGATTGTACTTTCCTGGTCCAGGAGCCTTGAGAAAGGAAGGAGACTGGGTAAGATTTGGCTGTTAATTGGCAGCAGGTCCCAAGTGGGTTCACCTGCACCCTGGCCGGGCCGCCCTTCGAGAGGGAATGTTCGGCCATCTCTCAATCCCGGGCCCACTTCTCCAACTAAAACCCATTTACGGTTTCGGAAATCTGAGGGGTAGGGCCAGCCCCAGTAATACTTGCTTGTAATCCCTCCGCTCAGGGAGCCGAGACGGGAAGATCAACCTCAAGACACCCTGTCTGTCTGTCTGTCTTCCGTTCTGAGACGCCGCCTCTCTCTCACACACAGTTTGGGGAGAAATGCTCGCACACCAAATGCTTTGCTGGATTTGCCTGCCCCCAACCCCGAAACCCCGGGGGTTCAGCCGCGCGAGCCTTTCCACCCGGTGGAGCGGGTCGGGGAGGCTTCTCCAGGCTCCGCCCGGGCCCGCACGCTCTCACCGCGGCCGGCAGCCCGGCACGGAGCTCCGCAGCCCGCCGTCCCCCGCTGCACTGCCGTCCAAGCGCTGCTCCTGGGGCGTCGCCTTGGCCCGCGCACGCCCACGTCGGTTCACAGCCCACCAAAGGCCGGGCGCGTTCGAGCCTGAACCAGAAGGAAGGCGGTGCAGCCCGAAGTCAGGAGTCCGCTACGCAGTCCCTCGATTCTGCTCCGCTCTGATCCGCTTTTAACCCACCTCAGGTGGCCGGGGTCAGAAAGGTAGGCGAGAAGCCCAATGCCCGCGCGCCACGGCTCCTCGCCCCGCCCACGGGCTATCACCACGGGTCTCACCTGCGCTAGGGAATCCCACTTCCCAAGATTAAGTATTTGCAACCTGGGGTGAGGCGCAGGGGTGTGTGCGGAGGGGGAGGGGAGAACGGACCTGAGACTGAACCTGGATAATTCCAGTACTAGGCAGATGGAATTGAGTTCCAGGCCAGCCCGGCCGCACAGTGGAAAAAGACACAACTACTAAAGGCTTTAGCTCTCTCCTTGTGAGACCAAAGGAAAACTGCAGCGCTTCGCAGACAAGCGAAGGAACCAGGAGCAACATTTAGTAAATACCAAGAAGGCACACAAGGAGACTTAGACACATACGGGGCTCTGTAGTTATGGGGGGACTCAGTAGTTACAGGGGAGTCCAGACGACCCAAGGTATTTTCCGGCACAGGCCAACGGTTCCCAACCGCTGTAACCAGGGGATCCCACACTTTCTCTGCCCGTATGTGGCATACAGTAACAAACACACGTGAATAAAAACGATATAAAAAAATACAGACAGCGCCTACATCACACCGGGGGCAATTCTTACTAACCCGTCACGCCCCAAATTCACTGCAGTCTTTGCTTTTTTCTTTTAATCAGCTCAATTGAATCATAACACTCAGCCCTTATCTGTAGGCTCAAGCAGCCAAAGCACAGAGGAGGCGGGAAGGCGATGATAAAACACAGTAGGTGCTAGGTTGAAGCAATCATGTACGTTACCACTGCCTTTAGACCACGTGAAACAGGGAGGCCCTGAGGCCAACGGGCTCGCTTTCCGTCAAAATGAAGAAATGACTATTCTCCATCCTGGCTTCAAATTAATTTATTTACAAAACTGGGCATCCATAGTTAACTGATTCGGTTTGATCTTCAATTTTAAATAAACTCATCTGTCTGTCTGTCCGTCTTGCATCTATTTGTTTATTTATTCTGAGGCAGGGCCTTGATATCCAGCCCAGCGCCTCACCATGAAGCACACCCCCATGCCTCAGGGAGCAGGCCCATGCTGGCCTTGACTTCAGGTTCCTCTCACCTCAGTGGACTGCAGTACCTGCCTTCGGGTCCTTAGCTCTTGAGGTGAAGATCGGGATGTAGCTGAGAGGAGCAAAGTCACCGGGTTGTACACGGCTTCTCGCCCACCAGGGACCCCAACCACACATTCTGACACTACAGGAAACGAAGCCCTTAGAACAGTTCAGGGGTTCGTGCTGGCCACTCTGCTGCCACCTAGACTCTTCCCATCCGTTTGATGTGATCAGAACCTTCGAGAAAGCCCAGGTGCATTCTTCCCCACCTTCATCAAGCTCAGCAGCCTTCCGGGCCTTGGAAAAGCAGAAACCTGTTTTGCTGATGTCTAAGAAAGGCTTCTGTCTATAAATCCTTGGTAAACTTCACTCTCATAACCCAGGATTTGTCTGACTCTTCAGTTTCAGTGCCTCTACACTAAGTTTTCCAGAGGCAACTTGATTTAGAGAATGCAGACTTTTTTTTTTTTTTTTTTTTGGCTATGAAATATGCTTTATTCACTACTAAAAAGAACATCTCTGGGGGTGTGGCGGTACATGCCTGTCATCCTAGCATGGAAAGGTGGATGAAGGAAGATTAAAGGCATCCTCAGCTACATAGTGAGTGCAAGGCCAGCCTGGGCTACCTGAGACTCTACCTCAACCAGGAAGCCATTAGATGTGTGCTTTGCCATTGCAGACTTTAAACGTCAGGGATTCCCTGCCAGAGTGTGAGCTCAGACTATAGGCCTAATTAGGTTGAGAAACCTGAATAGGGAGCCAGACATAGTCACACACAAGTGCAAGCCCAGTACTTGAAAGGCTGAGACAAGAAGATAGCAGACGTTAAGTAAAGAGCATCCTGGTCTACATAATCAGTCCCAGGCCAGCTTGGACTATGAGACCCGTTCTTAACAGTCAACTTGATGAATTGAGAAATACTTCAGAGATTGATAAAGCACATATCTGGGGATGCATGTCAAGTTATTTCTAGAAACAATTACATCACAAATGTTCTAACCTATTAAGGAATTTAAGTTAGTTATGGATTCAAAGTTTGAATAGACTGATCCCATGGGAAGTGGTAGAGTTGTGGAAGCCAGGGCCCGGTTTAAGGAAGTATGCCACTGGTAGTATGTACTTGGAGAATACATCTTGCCTTGGCCCCTTCCTGTTAGTGTTTCACTCTGTTCACTGTCATATGAACTGCTCTGCTTTCCCATGTTGAACCCTCTCTGACATGATTAAGCGAAACTTCTAAAACTGTAAGTAAGATATTTTCTCCAGAAAGAAAGCAAGCAGGCCAGAGAGGGGAGGGAAAAAGAAGGAAGAGATGGGGAGCAGGGGAGGGGAGGGAAGAGAAGAGGAGGGGACAGGAGAGGAGAGGGGAGGGGAGGGAGGGGAAGAGAGAGGAGAGGGGAGGGGAGGGGAGGGAAGAACAGGGGAGGGAAAGGGAGGAGACAGAAGGATTTAAATATAGGAACTCTTTGGGCCTGGATTCACATTAGTATAACAAAATCAGTTCATGGATTATGATGATTTCTTGTAGAAATTGTCTTTTAGCAGGATGTTGGTAAAGGCCCTGGGCATGTTGTTTTCAGTGCTTGTGGTCCTCCCCCCTGTATTAAATCAATCAAACAAACAAAAAACAGCCAGCAAAATGGTCACTGGGTAAAAGCACTGTCCACCTTCCTAAATACCTGAATTTGAATCCCAGAACTTGCACAGTGGAAAACAAAAACCAGCTTTCCCAAATTATCTTCTGACCAAGTTTGTGGTCTCTGTACCTTGCTGGAGAGTTCTGTGTCAACTTGACACAAGCTAGACTCCTCTGAGAGGAGGGAACCTCAGTTAAGAAAATGCTTCCATAAGATCCAGCTGTAGGCAGGCC